TGCAATACTGTGGATTACATGGATGGATGGAATTAAGAGTAATTTTCATTTAACGTGCTTTACTGGAGGCATCCATGTTTGTCAAAGAACACTACTGCCACCTACTGGTTTGTGACGTCACGGTGCGGTATCTAATATGGTTCTTTCCTTTTGGGACTCTGAGTTTTTAGTTTTCAGTTATTAGTTATTCTGCTTTGTTGATCTTTGGTCTGTTTTCCATTATATTCAAGCAGTCTGTATTTACTCTCTGTTGCCCCCCTGTGCTTGTTTCCTTTCCCCTTGGCTGCCTTCTAGTTAGTTCCACTCACACCTGCTCCATATTCAGCTCATTAGCACATCCTTTGTTCTGTTCCCCTTATATGCTCCACCTCTGCAGTCACTCAGGGCTGGTTACTTGTTGTTATTGTTAGTTGCTTCCTCGTTTCCACGTGAGTTTTCCCTGATGTTCTCTGGTTATTTGGTTCTGTCTATTTTGCATTTTTCAAATGATTCCCTCAGTTATTTATTAAATCAACAAGAACTCATATATGCTTTACTCATCTCTGCATTTGGGTCCTCAAGCAACCACTGGAACCATCAAGTCCCTGTGCTGTATCTGGTGCTTGTCACAACGCGCTATTATCCAAGTCATCTTGAAAACATTCTTCTTCCAAATGTTGGCTACATAGTCATATGAAAAACACTCCTATTAATCTTAATTATTTCTATTTCTAAATATTTGGGTGTTTTTAACAGCTATTTCAGTTTAATATATATCTAATAACTGGTGGACACAGTAATATGTCAGTATTGAATCGAGGTGTATTGGACTAACAGAAAATGCGCAATATGCATTAAAACAAAATTTGACAGGTGCAAAAATATGGGCACCTCAGCAAAAAAGAGATCAACAACCTCTACTCGCTTCCTGTAGCTTTAATGAGTTCCTGATTTTTGACCATTCTTCTTTGCAAAACAATTCCAGTTCAGTTAGGTTTGATGGTTTCCCAGCATGGACACCCTGCTTCAAATCATCCCACAGATGTTCAATGATATTCATGTCTGGGGATTGGGATGGCCATTCCAGAACAATGGAATTGTTCCTCTGCAGAAATGCCTGAGTAGATTTGGAGCGGTTTTTTGGATCATTGTCTTGCTGAAATATCCATCCCCGTGTAAATTCAACTTGGTAACTGATTATTGAACAATATTCTCAAAAATCTGCTGATATTGAGATGCAACCGTCAACTTTAATTAGATTCCCAGTGCCAGCATTGGAAACGCAGCCCCAAAGCTTGATGAAACCTCCACCAAATTCTACAGTGGGTAGCAAGGGTTTTTCTTGGAACGCTGTGTTGTTGTTTTTTTGCCGCCATGCATAAAAAAAGGCTTTTTATGACCAAACAACTCAATCTTTGTTTCAGCAGTCCACAGGACCTTATTCCAAAATGAAGGTGGCTTGTCCAAATGTGCTTTTGCAAGCCTCAAGGGATTCTTTTTGTGGCGTGCTTGCAGAAAAGGCTTCTGTCGCATTTGCAGCACAATGATGCTGCAGGTCTTTGGAGGTGGTCTGTGCGTTGTCCTTGACAGTTCTTCTCTGCCTCTCTGATATTTTTTTTGGCCTGCCACTTCTGGGCTTAACAAGAACTGTCACTGAGGTCTTCCATTTCCTTACTATGTTCCCCACAGTTTAAATCTCTGAGACAACTTTTTGTATCCTTCCCCTGAATGACTATGTTGAATAATCTTTGTTTTCAGCATTTTTTTGAGGTGTCCATAATGAATCTTCAGAGGAGATGCAAACAGTATAACAACTTGCAACTGGCCACCTTAAATACATTATCTCATGATTGGATGCACCTGGCTAAGAAGTTAAAATCTTAAAAAAAAGTTACCAAACCAATTTTGTGTTTCAGTAATTCAGTGAAAAGTAGTTAAGGGTATTCTAATCAATAAAATTATTAGGGTAGCCACATTTCTGCACTTTCTGCATTTTCTGTTGGTCCAATAAACCTCAATTCAATACTGAAATATGGCAGAAAGATGGCAGGAGGGAGGGGTTTCTATATTTGGGCAAAAATGGCCGCCCCCAGACTCCGTGATCACAACGAAAATTATTGTTTTTATTTTTTTACTGATTAAAGCTAAATTAATTAAATCACCGCAAATGTTAATTTGTTTTAGCTATAGATAATGATCCATTGCTCATTCCTTTGGTCAGTAGGCAGTAGAGGATCTACTGAGCCGTACCCAGTCTTCAACCTTTTCTCCTCCTCTGTTTAAACTTATCTCCTCTACCCCCGTCAAGCCTCTGTGTTTACTGATTATGGATCACTGAATGTAATTCCAGTTAAAACTGTATACCTTGCTGCTGATGAACTCAACATTCAATTAAATTGAAGATCTCAAACCTCAACTTATGATATTCAGTATAGACACTTTTCCATTTGAAAATAATGACATGAACACGAGATCAGTGGTTTGCTTTGTCTTTGATTCTTTTTCTGGCTTGATCCAGCTCAGCCATCATGGGTAAGATGCCTTCATAGGTGTTGGTCTCAATAGCTCTAAGTTTCTCCTGGTACTCCTTTGGCAAGCCATTTTGCTCTGCTCCCATTACAATCACCTAATGTGAATGACAAAAAAATATTGGCTTTCTAGTAGCAGAAACACTGTTTCAGTAAAACATATCAAACATGAACAATAGTCTGAGATTAAATAATATTATGTCATCAAAAGAACATGGAAAAACTGAAAAACATATTCTCCTAAACATGAACATAAAAGGTCATTTGAATGCTGGATTTTTATTGAGTCACTGGACCAATGGGCATTAAAATTTTTATACTATAGGTCAATTTTCAGTATATCAACTACAGAATATAGTAAGCTCTTTTAATGAAAATAGAATTATGCATTTCAGAATAATGTATTTTATATATAAAATTATGTATTTTAAACAAACAACAGCAACAGGACAGTAACAAAGGAAAAAAATAGATGATGCAATAGAATACAAATGGAAAACTGTGAAGTCAGTCAATGTGTGGGGGTTGTGTCACTATTTTCCTCACTAAAGCAAATTGTTTTGCTGGGATCAGACTCACAATTTAACGGTTGCTGAGGACATTTTAATTTAAGGAAAACAGAAACACCAAAATCAACAAAATGGCGCAACGTAGAGTTGCAGAGATTTCTGTGCATGTTGGCTGATAGGAAGACGCAGAGACTGGATGGAACCACACCAAATGAAAGAAAGTAAAGTTTCAGAAAGAGAGACTTTAACATAGAGACTAAGCATAGATACCAACTCTATGCTCAGTTTGAGCTTGTGCTGTAAGGTGACTGTGTCTTTTTCTATTTCAAGATGTGTTTTTGTCTGTAAGGGGTGTTATAAGAAAATACGTAGGCACTATGTCTATACATTTTTTCAGTCGTTGTACTTTTTTACCTTTATTGGCTACATTTGAACACAAATTTCTGTGCTCTGTACATATTGATAATGACAGAGATCACTTTTTTTTTTTTTTTTATTGTTGTTGATTGTGTTTGAGGTTCTATTTAAACCATTCGCAGCTTCATTGATGTACATATCCAAGCTGTAAAAGTAAACTGTTTAGGCAGGACGTCTGCTGTGCCCACGGCTGGGGCAGGGTGTTCTGATTGCAATTTCGTGATGCCTAGTTTCTTGTGACAGAACCTGCTCTTATCATACGATGTGTTGTACTGTATAACCCTTGGGGAGGGGGGGGTTATGCAGTCATGTCATGAAACCTGTTATACAAGCAACGTAATAAAAGGAAGCTGCGCAGAGAGAGCTTTCAGAGTTGAACAGAGGCTATTAACATCTAATCAGCTCTCTCCCCTTTTGCAAAGGCTTTGAAGCTTACATTGTGGCTCTGTGGTCTCTTAATATAGACGGTTAAAGGCGTTTGAATCTAAAAAGGATCACGCAAACTAATTTTCAATTTATATATAATGCATGCTGATTATGCTTACATTAGGCTTTTTAAATTTGCGAAGCTACTGCTTACAGATCTTCTATTGATCTTTATGTATGCTTATGTATGATGTAACTGAATGGCAGCTGAACTTAGCTTTGGTTGACAGCATTGTCTTTGCAGTATTTCATTTTGAGAAGTTCCTTTTACACTTTAATCAATCACTTATGTGTTTTCATTGAAGTTGCATT